TGGGGCTTGAACTCTGGGCCTGGGCGCTGTCCCTCAGCTCTTCAGCTCAAGGCTAGCGCTCTACCACTTGAGCTACAGCGCCACTTCCGGTTTTCTGTGGTTTATTGGAGATAGGAGTCTCACAGTCTCTCCTGCCAGGGCTGGCTTTGAACTGCGATCCTCAGATCTCAGCCTCCTGAGTAGCTAGGATTACAGGCGTGAGCCACCAGCGCCCAGCTATGTATAATTTATTTTCAACACAGTGTCCAGTGAGAACCATTAGTGCATTTGTTCGCCCTTTGTCCCTCCATTTCTGTGCTTCCCCTTACCCTCCCAAAGATATATAAAAGAACAAACAGAACAAAAAGGACAGAAAACAAAAACAGCAAAAAAAATCTTTGTTTTCATTTCCGGGAGGGAAGCAAGACCCTGATTCTTTTGGGCAAGTTGGCTGGAATGGTGTAGCCATTGTCCGCCTTGTGGGGGGCAGGGTGTCTTGGCACAGAGATGAGGCTGGGGGCTTGAAGGTTGGGGAACTGTGGGCTGTTGCTGTGATCTGGAGGAGGAGTCTGAAATGCTTCTGCTCTCTGTAACACGTGTGCTTGTTTCCTTACCCAGTCTACGCCTGTAAACTCTCAGACCGGGAGCACCCTCTCTACCTGCGTCTGGTGGCAGGGCCCAGAACAGACACACTTAGTTTTGTTCTTCGAGAACATGAAATTGGAGAGGTAAGCAATTGTTCATCATGGCTTTGAACCATACGGAACAGCTGGCTCTGTTTTATTGCTCTAGTCTAGTGATGAGCAGGGAGGAGGGAAGGGGAGGGGGAGGCAGAAGGGAGAGGGGAAAGAGATCTGAATTGTCAGAAAGGAACCTCAGGTTAGTCTGCAGTATAATTCTCTTACAACATTGGGGTGCTCTGTGCTTTCCAGAGGTTGATGGAAATAAAATTTTTACTTTAGAAAATTATTTTTTTTACAGTCATTTTCTCCCCCTTCTTTACCTCCAAATTACTCTCATCCAGCGGCTTTGAAAATTGACACTCTCCATATGTCTGTAGCTAAGAACAGTCTCCAGGCTAATTTCCTTCTAAAGGGAAGTAAAAGGAAACCTGATCTCTTTACCATGAAAGACAGAGAACTTTCTGGTACTTCACCCCCCCCCCCCCCCCCC